TATTTCATCGAAATTTGATTTGCTTTTCTTTGATGATTAGTGTGATTCAGTATTTTTTTCATGAACCCATTAGTCATCTGAGCATATTTTAAGAAGTATCTATCTTGATCAATTCCCCATATATTAACAAAATTATTTATTTATTTAATTTATTTATATGTTACTGCACTTCTGGAGTTCCTAAAATATTATGGACATCAATCCCTTGTCAGATATATAGCTTACAAATATTTTCTCCCATTCCATTTATTGTTTCTTTACCTATGGATTATTTCCTTTGCTATGTAGAAGATTTCTAGCCTGATGTAATCACATTGGTTTCTTTTATGCTTTTGTTTCTTCTGCTTGGAGCCTCGCCTTCCCCATCCTACCCATTCCCTGTAATCTTTGTTTATTCCAATGTACTTAAGCATTTTCCCCCGGGTTTTCTTTTAGTAGTTTCAAAGTTTCAAGTTTTGTATTTCAGTCTGTGATTCATTTTGATGTGGTCTCTATAACTGGTGAGAAACATGCAGTCTCAATTTTCTACACTTGAATATTCAATTTTCCCAACACAAAAGACTGATCTCAGGGGAATGGGAAAAAATAAGAACCAAGATAGTTATGTAAAGGTACGAATTTCCAACAAGGAATGTCATTATATTGTATACATTAAATGTACCAATAAAATTAATTTTAAAAAAATAAGAAGCCTGACCTCCAACCAGTATGTACATATGGGACCTTAGCAAAGCTCAATTGCCTGAAGATGTGTGGGTTTACTTTAAGACTCTCAATTCAGTTCTGCTGTTCTCTATGTCTACATTTCCTGTAATATGCTCTTCTCATTACTACAGCTTTCCAGTATGTTTTGGTGTCAATCCATATAACGCTTTCTAATTTGTTCTTTTTGCTCAAGATTTCTTTGAATGTTTTCCTATGTATAAATCCATATAAATACAGATTACTTTTTTCCAGTTCTATGAATAATGTCATTGGCATTATGACAGAGATTGTATTAAATCTGGAGATTACTTTGGATAGTATAGATATTTTAACAATAATTTTATACTTCAAGAACACTGATGTATTTTCACTTTTTGTAGATGTTCTTTTCACTTGCTTTCATCAATTTTTTTATAATTTTCATTACAGAGATTTTTCCTCCCTTTGGGTAAATCTACTATTTCAAATTGCTCTCTTGATTTCTATTTCAGATAACTGGCTATTTGTTATCAGCACCACTACTAATGTTTATATATTGCTTTTGTATCATGAAACTTTATTAAACTCGATTATTATTTGCAATGTTTTATTTTTTGTTAGAGCCTTTGAGATTTTTATTTATATATAAAACCATATCATCTGTCAACAGGTACAATTTGGCTCCTTTTCCAATTTGAATGCCCTTATTTCTTCTACTTGCTTGGTCACTGTGGCTAAAACTTCCAGTACTATGTTGCATAAAAGTGGTAAAAAGGGCATCTCTATTATTTTTCAGCTATTAGACAGTGAATTTCCAGTTTTCCCCAATTCACTGTGATGTTCTCTGTTGTTTGTTATAAATAGTCTACATTATGTTGTGGTATACTTCTACATTTAATTTAGTCAGGATTTTTAAACACAAATGAAGTTTCCCTTTTCATCTGTGCTGTGATTTTGAGTCTCCTCTTTTTCTTAGTCCAGGTAAGGGTTTGCCAAGAACAAGCTTTTAATTTCTTCATGATGTTGACCTTGATCTTTTTGAGGAAGAGCCTGTCAATTTTATCCACTGTAATTATTCTCTTACACTCCATTCCTTTCTATTACTCCCTTTACAGGGAAACTCCAGAGAATGACTCTTAGTTAAGAATTGGAGATTATATACTATCTCACTGAGGGCACGATATTTGTATAAATTATTTGAAATTCTTCTGTATGGGGTATTTTTGTCTGCTCCCAAATATTTATTCAAGCATTTATGTCAGCATTGGCTTATAAATATTTCATAACCTGGATAATTATCACATACTATTTAATTATTGTTCTTTTTTTTTTTCTAATAGCTTCCAACAGCTTTGACCTTTGGGAACTTCTATGTCCCTCCTTTGATCTACTCTAATGAAACAAAAAATATTTTTTAACTTTTGGCACTGCTATCTAAGTTCATTTTATGCATTTTCTGACCCAGGCTTAGAATCAGCCTGTCATATCTCCAAGAAGCCCTGATTTTTATTATTAGATCTGGATGCTAGGTGTACCCTGGAATTTTATTTTAAGATTCTAAGTCCTTAAGGGCTTATAAATTCTCTTCCTTGATTTTCAATCTTTCCTCCCTTCCTCCCTCCCTTCCTTCCTAGTTTCCTGCCTTCCTATCTTCCTTCCTTCCTTACTTCCTCGCTTCCTTCTGTTTCTTTCTTTCTCTCTCTCTCCTTTTTTTTTTTCCTGTATTGGGGATCAAATTCAGGACCTTGCCCTTGTGAGGCAGGCGGTGGCACCAATGAGCTAAATTCCCTGCCTGGCTTCTTATAAACTTTAAAAGGCACATATTCGATTGATTCGGGGAGGTGTATGTTCTGTTTATGCTGAGCCCTAAGTGAAGATGCAACAGTGAGCCCATAGCACCAGTGCTGGAGGTGCTGGCTGCCATGAATCTGGTGACAAACTTACTGTCTTGTACACCCTGGTGCTCTGTTGCACACAGTTCAACATTCCTGAAGTCACACTTAAGTATATCACATAACACAGGCAGGTTTACAGGTACTGTTGAATCTGACATATGTGAATGAGAGCTCCTGAATTAATGTAAAAATATCAATACATTATGGAGAAGAATATTTCTAATCTAAGCAGTTGGGATGATGTGAATATAATAGTATGTGTGATATTTAAATAATGCAACTTCATTAAAATCACTTTATCACAATGGAAATAAAAATGCTGTTTTCATCCTGCCCTCTAGTATATGTTCTATGATTTATAAATAAGAAAATATTTAAGTGCTATAAAAATGTTATGAAGCAACAAGAAAAAATTATATATATATATATATATATATATGCATCATATAGGTATTCTCAATTTTCTAGAATATAAAAATTTGAAAGGGGTCAGTGTCATGGGCTTTATAATATTCATAGGATTAGCCTGTAAAACCTGATAGAAAGTTAAATGAAGAATGCTATATAAGATTTAAATCAGATAAATCAATTATGTAAATAAATTACATAAATTACATTCATCAATGTTACATTGTAATCTCAGTAAAAACCCGAGTGACAAAGGTGATATACTGAATAATGAAGTCATGAAACAAAGTGTTCTCTTCAAAGAAAGTCTAAATAAAATTTTTACTTAAATAAATATAATTATTGTTTTCTGATAGCAGATTCTAGATTCACTAAAACATCAATAACATTGCCTAGTATAATTTCAAAAATGTAAAACAATACTGTAAAAATAAAAATCAAGATAACAAAAATTGTCAAGAACCCAGAACAAAATGAAGCGGTCAGTGTGAAAACAGTGAGTACTGGAGTGTGAATTTTGTAGTTAGTATCAGATTTAGATTTGGCGTTAGGCTTAGGAATACTCTAGGATTTCATGTATGGTTGTATTGGAATTTGGGAATAATGTTAAGGGTTAGGGTTTGGTTTAGTGACAGGGATAAGGATGGAATTCAAGTATAATTTGAGTGTGAGAATGAAGGATAGGACAAAGATATTTATGAGGGTGAGGTATAGTGTGGGATTCCAAGTACCTGAGCATTTCAATGCAGCTATGATGGATGGGTAGTGTTAGCTTTAGGGTTAGTAAGGTGAGTAACCAGAGAGAAGTATTTGTAGATAATAATATATTTTCCCCATAAAATTAAGAAAAGTTCTATTTAAAAGTAAGTTTTTTTAAACCAGTAAATAGACTTCTGTACAACTCCAAAAAGTTTATTTAGATGAGGACATGAGAGCAGATGGAAAGTTAAGGAAAATATGGTAGGAGGACTGATGGACCAAGGAATTCAGGGAAAGAGGAAGATTTTGATGAATTCCAGATCAAGTTAGTAACGTACAGTAAGCGTAGGAGAGGAAATATAAGCAATTTTATTTAGGCAGAGTGAAATTTTCAGTCTTAGGATAATACAACCTGGTATTAATTATTAAAACCAGAAGTTTTATTTTCCCCTTAAAAATAGTAAAGCTTGGGCCTGAGTTTTAGCTCAGTGGGGACATGCCTACCTGGCAAGTGCAAGGTCCTGAGTTCAATCCCTGGTACCAAAATAATAATAGTAATGATAATAATAATAATAATAATAATAATAGCAATAATGCTTTTTCTAAATACTTCACTATTGTCTTAAATGTACATATTTCAAATCTTTTGAATTTTTTTGCTCACATCCATTATAAAATGAATGCACCATTTCATGGAGCAAAATTGTTAAAAAGCAATAGGTCAACTAAAACAATGCATAGCATAAGGGTTTCAACATGGAAAAATACTGAAGTTCAAACCCAAAACTGATTGAGTTTCCATAATGTCAAAGTGGTTTATGTGAACTGATAAACTGAAATTCACTCTGAAATGTATTTACTTGTGGCACTGAGAAACCATGAAAGCAACGAATTGCTCAAAGTTCTGTTTTCAAATGCCTGGGGAGTTAGGCTGTCCTTGTCCATGTTTCAGACAGTACTATTATTACTACCTTACCGAATGCCTACAGCTAGCTACTCAGAGCAAAAAACAGAGTACAAGTGACATGTTCACTGTAACAATTTCTCCCAGGTATTGTTACTTAATTCCCAAAGATTAAACATAAACGTGGAGAATCCTGGGACCACCTGAGTACAAAATCCAGACACAAGCACATAACACCAAACACCCCAAGCATCTGTAGAAATCACTATATTAAATGTGTTCCTAAAGTCTTCTACAACACTTCTCATTACTAGAAGCCATTCTACCCAGAATGTACCTTCAAGTGTCTGACTCATTGTCTCAGAGTAACTAAATTTCCTCAAGTTGTAGAAAGACCTGTAATTGCTTACCTGACTCACAGGCAAATGTCTTGGACGTTTCGTCATGAAAAATAATTGCCACTGCATGCTTTTTTGTCTCTCGAGGCAGTCTGGTTATATTTTTGATGTTGTGCAATTCAGTTACCTTAAAGGAAAAAAAGTATATTTAAGTAGTGTGCAGTATATATTTTATACTGTAGTGCTTAAACAAATAATCAAGGTATCACTACCTTAAATTACTTAGCAATGGAAAAATTGTACTAATTTTTAATAAATGATAAAAATAATACAATGAAACATTTAAAATATCTTCCCTTTAACCTCAATTCTGGTTACAATTTATATTGTTGTCTGTATTTTATCCATTGCTTGCAATATTATCTAGAATAACTCCATGGACTCTATGCTTTTTTTCCTTAAATTTTCACATTTGCATTAAACACTGTTAATCGTTTTCCTTGAATCCTGGCTCACTCACTGAGTTCATTTCTGAGAATGTATCTGACAAATCCCAAACACTGAATGATCACAGATTGGCCATCAGTCAAATCTTCATTAAAATGAGTGTTTAATTCTCCTTTTTAAGAAGTAGACACTTTGCTTGTCACATCCACAGTTACACTCCAGCTCTTATCCCAGGTGACCACTGCCCACCAGCACCCAGCACAAGCACTCTGAGCTTCTCCCATTTTTTAAGTAGAATACCAAAGAGTCATATTTGAGGTCTAGATCTGACAATATGATTCTTGACTGCTTCAACAAAAGTATTCTAAAGGGCCAGGGATTTAGCTCAGTGGTTCCGCCATCTGCCTCGCAAGCACAAGGACCCGAGTTTGATCCCTGGTACCCCTCCCAAAAAAAGCTATTCTAAAGTAAAATTGAGAATAAAATAGGCATTTTGAATTTGTTTGCTTATGTGACTGGCTGGGTATGAAAAACACAATGACAGCTACTGTTATTTGGAGCCACTCTTGATTAATGATGCAGTTTTACCTGTCACTGCTTCGGCACCAAGACAGAGTGAAATTGCAAACAGGTGGATAACATATGTAATATGTAGCATTATGACAAGAAGAGTGTTGTGTCATGGACCACTCTGTGATCCACTGCTGCACAAGCAGCTCTTTCCTGGACCCACAACCCCTGATCGGCATGAAGTTTTATCACTTCCACTTCTTTAACATTCTCATACTCACTGCTTTCTCCCCACAGCTTCATGACTCATTCAAACCCCACTCTCTCATCTGAAACATTAGCATTTACTTTCCATCAGCCCACTCACTCCTCACCTTTCATTATCTTATTCACATTGAGTCCAGACTGGGATTTCTAAATTAAACATGCAACCAGGTCCCTCAGGACTTAAAACCATAAAATAGCACCTTATTAACGAAGGTCTCACTCTTCAGCAAGGACTTGAAGATTTTCTGGAATTTTGTTCTCATGTGCACATCTAATCTCATTTTTTTCCTACTCCAACCCTCAACACAAGGTAAAATCCAACTATACATAACATCTGTCAGTTTTCCTAAATAAGCTTGCTATATGAAAGTCATCCTTTCACACAGTAATCTGCTTGGAGCATGCTATTTCTACAACTTCCTGTCAAAGTCATAACCAATTTTCAAGACAAATCTTTGTTGGTGGTTTATACAGAGTTAGCAACTTCTCCCCTCGTAGGCCTCTTCTCAGGAAGGACCTTGACATCTGACTGAATTTAACGTGGCTTCTTGGCTCGTTATGAAAGCTGCTTGTATTCTTACACAGATTCAACAAGTAAAGGTAGATTTCTTTCACTGGCTTGTAGGGAAAGTTGAGGGACAGGCAGGGAAAGTTAAAAGGCCTCAGAGAGGGTTCTGGCAAATAAAGAGCTAAACCCAGCCAGAGAAAGTAGCTAAGAAAAACAAAAGGAGAGAGAGCTGATAAGGCTGCTGGGCATGGATCATGTCAGATCAAAGCTCAATTCTTTCCTCCTTCTACCTGCAATTACACACACACACACACACACACACACACACACACAGAGAACAAAGTGGGGAGGGAGGTATATTATAACAAAACCTCAGTATATAAAATATGCACTAACATCTATACACACACACATATATATACATATATGTACATATATTTTATTATTCTCTCACCATATTAATATACTAAAACATACACATATCTCTTTTTGCTAATTTTTCCTTGAATTCAGGGGTCTGCTGTAAATCTCACAGCATAAGGCCCTGGACAGGACAAAGGGACTCTAAAAGTGCTTATCTAAGAATGAACCCACAGGCAATAGAAGGGACAGTGGCCAAATCAGACGTCTCACCTGAAGTTGTAACAACTCAAGGGGGACAGGCCATTTTTCACCATGTAATAAAAAGGGCTGAGAATAAAGACCCCCCTGAATTCCAGCTCCAGACTCCCTACTTTACACCGACAGGTAGCTATCTATCTTGTTATTTCTCTTCCTTTTTTTTAACTCATTGAGTTTATTGGTACATTTTAGGTATACAGTACAGTTACATTCATCATTGAGATCTTGTACCTCTACATGACAGGTCTTGGTTCTCGTTTTTCCCCCTTGTTCCTGCCCTCCCTTCACCCCCTCCTCCCCTCCCCATTTTCTCTTCCTTTTCTAATAAAGCAATGTTGTTCCCTATTTTTCTTCCCTTTCTAATACAGTGATTTTGTTTCTCCTTCTGAATTTATGTCTCCAATTCTTTTATTGATTTTTTCCCATAAGACATAACAGATTCATGCCATTTATTTATTAATTCTTTGCACAACTAGACTTGTGCATCAGCAGGTTTGTTTGGAGATTTGACCAGTGCTCTGCACAGTGAAGATCACTAGACACTTGTGGACTGATTACTCTTTTCATATTCTGTGGAATGAGAAAAGACTGAAAAATGTGACTCGCTTTCTTGAATTGCGTGCTCTGAGAAGGAGGGCATACCGAGACGTTTTAGGATGAATAAATAACTAGACCAAACATCACAGAGAGAAACTGCTCTTCTTATTGTTCAGAAGTTCTAATTACATTTTACTTGTTTTACCACTGCAGCTAGTTAACGGAAAGAATATTACATGGGCTGAATATTACATGGCCATATGTTCTCCAAATAAGTCTAAGTTTTTAGAGTGATTTCATTTGAATGTTTAGAAACATTTAATATAAATCAAAATTTTATAATTTAAAAATCGTAATGTTATTTATATTATGCATTTTTCTTTTAACCTAACACAACAAATTAAGTATTACCAGTTAATATACCTCTTACTACTATAAATGTTTAGTTTTAGTGTTTAATACCCTAATGAACAGGGGAAAATTATCTATTGAAATTGTTATTAGTTTTAAAGTGTCTCTTAGCAGTTTACTTCACAACAACTGAGAGATACATAGCTATTTAAGTGCTATATTTCTTTTTCTTTGTTTGCTTTTTTTTTTTTTTTTTTTTTTTTTTTTTGTACCAGGATCAAACTTGGGGCCTTGCACTTGCAAGGCATATATTTCTTTTTAAAATCTAATTATCTTTTGGAATTTTAAGAATATGAACCTTTATACTTTTTAAGTAGGTTCAAGTTAATATAAAATATATTTTTCATCAATTTTACTAATAATGCTTATTAATTCTGGTATTGTAGTAATTTCCTACACTTGTTTTAATTCAGGAAGAGCATTGATTTTTTGAGAATAAAGTAGTACAATTTTGGAGCAAGTTTAATAAAACTATAGTAAGATAGAGAATATTGATTTTCAGGTAAAAAGATAGGATTTTTACTAATTTTTATTACCAAATTTTATTATACTTAACACATGTCAATCTCTCTTGCTTGAGTCCTAAGCTTTCATACTAATTTATTTTATTACCTAAGACATTGTATGCTTCAATATCTAACATAATCTTTTATAGAAATATTTATTATTGCTTCCTTACAAATAAACACATCAGTTTTCCAGCAGCTATTTCTTTGTATTTGCTTCTTTTTGCTGATAAAAATGGTTGTGTATTATTTTAAAAAATCAATATTATTTATACTGAAAGCTACTTGTGAGAGACCTTATGTGCTCTAACAAGCCATAAAAAAATCTTACTGTCATGTTAGTAGCTATGTTATTATCCCAACATGTTCATTATCATCTTAGTCTTTTACATCTTGGAAAGATATAAGGTCTCTCAAATATTAAGCACATTATGAAATGTATCATCTACACATGAATAATAATATGTCCATTCTATTAGAATTAGCTACAACTGACCCTCCTTTTCCATAGTTCTACATCCTGGCATCCAACAATTATACATCAGAAATGTTTTATCAAAAGACAGTTACATCGGTAATAAGCATATAAAGAATTTTTTTTCTTTGTTATAATCTCCTAAGCCATGTAGTATAACAACTATTTACTTAGCATTTAGATTATACTAGGTAGAAGTAATCTAGAGGTGATCTAAAGTATATAGCATGCTGTATGTAGGCTATATACAAATATTTTGCTACCATTTTATTTTTATTAATACACTTTCCTGTTGTTGGGGATTGAAGTCAGGTCCTTATGCATGCTATGCACTCTACCATATTATAGCCACAGCTCTGATGCTGTTCTATAAAAAACTTGAGCATTTTCAAATTTTTGTATCTTCACTGGAATCAGTCTGTGCACACATCAGGGGATGACTGTAGAAGACACTGGTGGCTCTCTACTCAGTTTCGAGGTCTAATTTCCTTATTGTTATCAGAATCTACCCCTCTGTCATATATCTCTGGTACCTTGGAAGAAATCTCTTAGTATCAGGGTAGACTTTCTTGTCAGACTGTAGCTGCCATTCTACTAGACTGAGGAAGATGAGATAATCCTCGAGGAGCCAGAGCACAGGCAGAGAAAACAAAAGAAGCTGTCAGTTTTAGTGATGAGATAGAGTTACTGAATCAGTTAGCCCTGAAACTACTTTTCTTTTGGATATGCTATGATATATAATTTACTTTTGAACATTAAATTGGGATTTCTAAGGCCTGCCATGGTGGCACATGCCTGTAATAACAGCACTTGGGAGACTGAGGTAGGAGGATCACTGTGATTTCGAGACCAGCCTGGGCTACATAGTGAGTTCCAAGTCAGTTTCAACGACATAGTGAAACCCT